TGTTAATTACATTTAATTACTTAATATAATGTACACTAAAACTTGAGTTATTTCAAAGCATGAATTAACATGATTAACTGTTTAATAGTGCACCTTCAAAACTGCCCGAGACTACACGACCCCGTCAATCCAACCCTACCAAATAGACCCCCGACAAAACAGCCTCGACAAAATAGCCCCGTCAAAAGGGCCCCGTCAAATGGGCCCCGTCAAATGGCTTCCGTCATATTGACTCGCGACGTATAGGCACCCAATAAATGGGCCCCACATATTAAACCTCCAGACAAACGGACTCTCGACATATTGGCTCGCGACAAAATGACCCCCGGCATCGTGGCTCCAGACAAATGAATCGTATGAGTACTAATGGCATAGAAGAAAACATTTTGTCCTACCTCCACAACCACTGTTTTGTCGGGTGCCAAAATCACGGGAGACTATTTGCCGAAGTTCGTTATTACAGGAGCCATTTTGTCGAGAGCTAAATTGACTGGAGCCTATATGTAAGGAGCTTAAATGACGGGAGCCTATTTGTCGGTGGCCTTATTGACTGGAGCCCTTCTGTCGGGAACAAAAAAATCCAAAAATAGAGACAATAACAACCAGTAGGCCTATTCATTGAAGAATCCTCAAACTCAAGAATCGGCCCAAGAACTTCAATTTAAGAAAAACTACAAGAGAAACATTGAAGAAATGAAAATTGTTTTCATTTTAATGTACCAATTGTATGTGATACTACGTATTTCATGTATTTTAATGTATTAACGTGCAACCTATCCACACAGAAAGTTCCGGACTCGAATCGAGAAAACTGTGTGGAAGGAAATTTGTAAAAAGTAAAATTAAAAAAAAAAATAGAATTGAGCTTTAGTATAAGATTTCCTTGTTTGTCAAAGCCCGTGATACTCAACATGGCGTCTCTTATTTCCCAATCAAGGGATGCCTACTTGTTTGCCCTATCACATGATACAGCCACTTAGGTAATTAGCATCCTCGCCTACACATTGTATGTTGTACAATCTTTTAGATTCAACGGCCCTTGAACTTTAACAGTCACATTGTGTCAATAAAAGATTGACTAATTAGCATGCAGTTATAATTAAAATGGATGAGTTTGAATACATAATAGTGATGCCTGAGCGGGGTATGAATAGTACTGAATTTGTAGAGCTTTAAAGCGAATTGAATCAATAAGCAAATATGTGAAAAGTGCAAAGAGCCTTAGTCGAAGTAATTTAGGATTTTTTTCACTCACACTACCATGTTTTAGTTGTAGGCCTATGTACACACACTGTTATGTTTAGTTGTAGGCCTATGTACACACACTGCTATATTTTAGTTGTAGGCCTATGTACACACACTGCTATGTTTTAGTTGTAGGCCTATGTACACACACTGTTATGTTTAGTTGTAGGCCTATGTACACACACTGCTATATTTTAGTTGTAGGCCTATGTACACACACTGTTATGTTTAGTTGTAGGCCTATGTACACACACTGCTATATTTTAGTTGTAGGCCTATGTACACACACTGCTATGTTTTAGTTGTAGGCCTATGTACACACACTGCTATGTTTTAGTTGTAGGCCTATGTACACACACTGCTATTTTCTAGCTACATATACACACTTTACAGTCTGGAAGAAACAATGCGGTGGAGAATTGTGGGATGGGACAGGGGGGGATAGATAGTGGAGTTGTTTCGACTGTACGTCTGATGTGGTGTGTTAGTGGGTTTAGATGTTGTGAATAAGAGTGTCCAGTTTGTTGTGAGATATCTGATTGGAGGGTAGTCAATGGGTAATGATATGAGGGTTCTTTTCCGTTGGATGTGGGCGTGTGGGGTGGGTTCTCATGTAGTGTGTGCGGCGGTAGTGTGGTGTTGTGATCATGATGTTAGGTTGTGTTGCCCAGGACGTGTTGGATACAGTTGTGTGGGGTTTTGTTAAACTCTGTGTGTGTGCTGTGTGATCCAACTATGTCGTTGGGTATGGTGTATGGTGTGAATGTATACATGTATTATAAAAGAGTCTACTCAACATGACTAGGTTTATTTGTCCTATCACGTGACGTGATGCTAAATATGGATTCATTTATTCACTTTGCGTGTAGTTGGATCTTGAATATTTAATGACCCTGACCTTTATATGACACCTTTAGTCAACATAGTTCGTTGCATTATTCACGGACATTATTATCAGATACATTAGCATCTTTCCTAAGCGTTCCCACGCAGTCATCACACTATCTCTGCACGATCAGTTTCAGAAGGCTGTTGCCGTTAGTCAGGTAATCGGATTACTAAAGCCAAATAACCTTGTGTATGTTACAATGTTACATTGCAATTGAGTATGTATGTTTGTTTAAGTATACACTGTAGGCAATGTAGACTTTCAAGGGTTATTGTTATGTGTGTGTTAGAGAGCTTTTGTATTTTGTTAATATCTGATTAGCTTATATATATATATATATATATATATACATATATATATATATATATATATATATATATATATATATATATATATATATATATATATATATATATATATATATATATATATATATATATATATATACGAACTGAACCGCGACGTATTATACGCCGCTATTAAGTTGGTTCTTTTTCTATTTTTAATATTTTGTGAATTTGACGCTACCAATGCTGCGACTGAAAATATTTTGCTGTTAAAACACTATCAGTAGCTAGTGAAGGACGACAATCCTCACCCTCACTTTCCGCTCCTTTTCCGCCTCCCCCGTGAAACAGCCATCCATGACGACAGTTTACGTCTTAGTGGTGTCTCGCATGGCCCCTGTGAAGAGAATTATATATATATATATATATATATATATATATATATATATATATATATATATATATATATATATATATATATATATATATATATATATATGGTACTGCCTGTTCGAGTGTATTTTATGCGTTCTTTCAATGTGCGATAAGTTTTTTACCCGTATGCGGTAATGGTCTTCATTTGTAGACGGCACATTCCAATCGACTTAAACGAACTTCCAACTCCACCCCCTCCAATTCCAACCGCACAAACCGTCTTGTAATTTGACTCCAACTGGCGCTAAGGTAAGCTGCTAGTAACCGGTAGTTGTACATTGTGCAGCGGAGGGTGGCCGAGGTATTTGGCTGACACGGTTGGTAGACTCACGAGGTCACAAGCCCGTCCTACCTTCCTGCACTGGTTAGTGTCAGGCCTTGTATCAAGTGCAGTTAGATCAGTTTCAAGGTTGTGTTTTTTATAAATCGTCTTGGTATTTCTTTTACAACGAATATATAGTCAATTGAAGCTAAAAGTCGTACATTGATAAATGATCAAACACTTCAATTGTCTTTGTTTTTTATCAATATTAAAAGTACAACGTGACATGCAACATTGTAGACGTAGGCCTACTGCTGAGGAATAGATTGATTAGAAACGACAACATGAGGAGGGAGAAGTCCTGTTATGTGTGGATGGGACTTTCTAGTTGTAATGCAGGGAGGATTAATAAATGCTACTACATAATTAAAAAAATTTGAATCTAATATGTGGGGCATACATTATACGGAAACAACGTATACTTGTGTGGTGCTGTTTAGAAAGGTGCATTGAATATTTAAAACGACATTTTAACATAAAAAAAATTTAAGGAATCACAGGTAGGCCTACAATGTCTCTAGTGCAAACCCAATCAGCGCTTCATACTACACATGCTGCTAGCACCGCTTGCTGATGCTGCTAGAAATATTAATAACAAATCTAGCTAAAACGCATTTAGCTAAAATAGTGATAATACCTCCAGCTACAAATACAGTTCACACATTGAGCACACATATTAATGCCTCAACCTCTAGATAAGTATATCGTCAATCTCTAAATAAGTACCTATATCATCAATTTCTAGATATGTATATCATTAATTTATAGAAACGTATATCATTAATCAATAGATACGCATATTTTCAATCTCTAAATAAGTATATCATCAATCTCTTGATATTATATCATCGTGTGCTAGATGTAAAATGAGCTGAATATCCGTAACGTTATACCTACTAGTTCAGTTATCCGTATCAACTGTGCGATCTTTAATCAATCCAACCGTAACGGTTACACGAGTTTTAATCGTCTGGTCTCAGTTGTTCTTGTCAGATAGCTGGCGTCTCTAGTGTGTAAATTACTGTAGGTCAGGGTCTTTCAATACTAAAAAAATCGATTTAAATGTTACAGTCATACTTTCAATACTAAAAGACATCGATCAGAATCTCGGATCATTCCTGTGTTAATACGACTAATGACATTTCATCTCAACAGTATTTATTTACATAAAATGAAATGACCAAATAAAGAAATATTTCTTTCGACTTTGTTTGGTCATTTTGAGGCTATCTACAGTTTTTTCCATTGTTTCAATTATTGTTGTCATCAAACTTTCGTTGTGGATTAAAAGGAAGAATAAAAAAAAATTATTAAACAGAAACAACATCCGAGTGGTACTGTTAAAAAATATTCCCTGTTTTTACGAGAGTTTACCGTAACTGTACACATGACTTTGGGTAAAGGTATGACCTCGTACCGATGAAACTGGGAGACATAAGGTGGGCGATCGATTCCACCGCCCACACCAACTAAGACTTGTGTATGTGCATCGCTGATTTTCTACCTCGTGATATAGTATGCTACCCCCCTCCCCCCAAATACACCCACGCATTAAACATGAACACTGTATGCTTCGCTTGGTCTTATCATCCAGACTATATAAGCGTCAAACAGTCTGCTGAAGGTGACATCTAAAAGATATTTGGTGCAACACGGTCACTAAACCAGTCTTCTCGTCTCTCGTTGATATAATTTTCTACACTGAGGTCCTAGCAACTGTTACAACAGTTTGTTAGACAATTGTTTAAAAACAAATCTGTTTCTCAGTCGCACCGATTGATTTTCCAAGATTCAAAGTGTCCACCTGTGACAAAACGCCAAGATGGAACGTGATAACAAGCCTCTCTTTGTCGTCATCACCTACACCGGAAACAGAGACCTGGCTGGCACCGATGCTACTGTAAAACTCCAACTCTTCGATGACCGCAATAACTCAACGCCACCCATTGACCTCAGCCACACATTTGTCGACGATTTTGAGCGTGGGAAAATTGACACGTTTAAACTCCGCGGCCAGGACACGGCCCAGCTATCGAGAACATCGAAGATCACAGAACTAGAGCTGCGTATAGAAAACTGTGGGGTGCTCTCAGATTGGTACGTTGATAAGGTTGAGGTCCAGAATCTTGAGACGAATGAGACTTTCCTGTTTCCGGTGTTTCGCTGGATCAGGAAAGGCGTTGTGTACAGGATCCAGCACCTGGATACAAGCCTGCCGCAGGGTCAGCCCAAACCTGTGGGGGATGCCAGGAAGGCGGAGCTCAGGGTCACGAGGAGTCTGTACGAACTGGACCAGAAGCTCCCTGCCCAGTTCCCTGGTGGGCCGTGCCAGGTAATCTCTTTGTGTGGTTAACATTCCTCGTACATTTGTGCTTAGTTACCCATTAGTAAACCTCCTTACGTTTTCACAATATAGTGAATATTCTGACGTGATCAACATTAATTATGTCGTAAGCTTAATCACAATTGATAGTTCTGTACTTGGTCACCATTTAGTGAACCTTTTTACGTGGGTACCCTATAGTGAAAATTCTTAAGCGGTCATCCATTAGTGAATATTCTGACGTGGTCAACATTAATTATGTCTTATGTTTAATCACAATTGATAGTTCTGTACTTGGTCACCATTGATTATGGCCATTATTTTGTCAGCATTGATTTTAATGATCACACTAGCAAGATCTAACCAAAAAAATATCAAAATTATTATTATTTAATAACCTTTACAATTTGCACATAATCGAGTTTAATATTAATTGGTAGCTTTATGAACTTTTTTGTAGGTCAAGAAAGTCCCACAAGAAGAACATTTTCAATTGGAAGAAATGGTAAGTATTTCAATATGAGTAAACACTAAACACACTGAAATAATTAAGGAGTTGTTAGTTACTTAAATAATGACACTATTTCTTATTTTAATCCTATACGTTAACATCCTACAGAAAATACGTATTTGTTTTATTTAATTCGAACCGTGGTCTATATCTTTTGCGTAAAGCCAAAGCTGTTTCAAATAATCTCTTATATTTCTATATTTTAGCTAACCATTGGAAAACAAGCGATTAAGCTGAAAAAGACAGCAGACTACACTAAAGCGCTTAAACTTGACATCAAGTGTTTGGATGATATCAAGAAAATTTACTCTGGAGATTTCAACATACCAGAGGTAATGTGTTTAAAATGTGTTTATTCTGTTTATATTTATAAACTTTTTTTTTACTGTGGGGTATGTGAGGTGTAGTTAAAGCTATTCAAACCTGGTGCTATCACTAACTAGCGTAAACTCCAGACTTTAGTGAATTGCCATTGTAACCATAGCTTCTTCCAGGCATCTGAAAAGTCAACCCCCCCCCCTTCCCCCGCCCACGCTCCGAGAGAAAGAAATTTGGAAGAAACACTTTATTGAAAATACCTAGAAATATACTTTTACAATTTTAGGGAATTCTTAGTGTCTCATTGTTTTATTCATTAGTTAGTAAAAGTTATTGCATTTAGCTTAATTTTTTATTCAAGCGAGCCTCGTTCTGGAGAAGCGACGAATATTTCGCCATGCAAAGAGTGGCGGGATTAAATCATTCAATAATTGAACTGGTCACGTCCATTCCTTCAAAGTAAATAAACATCACATGTTTTAAAATAATCTTCATGTTTTAATATTAGATGTCGTAAGAGCCACTGCTAAAAGTATTTAATAAAAAAGAAACGGAGAACACATTTCTAATATTTATTATTGTTATTTGAATACGATTTTTTATAGCATTAAAAAAAAGCACAATTAAGTAATGATGTATCTTACACTCTGATGTTTAATGTTTATCCCCCCCCCCTCCGCTCCCACTTTACTCAACAGGTTCCCAGTAACAGATGACCTACTTCAACCATTCCTGGAGGGTCTAACTTTAGCTCAAGCTCTGGAGAAGAAACGACTTTTTATGTGTGACCTACATCTTATGGATGGCTTACTGTTGAAAGAAAATAGAAAAGTGAGGTCGATATAATGGTTACAACATGCATCGTTTTAGACAAAGAAATTAGATAAACGTTCAGACACAAATCTTACATCATGTTATGTCAGACACAAGTATTATCACCTGTATTTTATTTTAAAACATGCTCCTAATATTACGTAGATAGTACTCTAGCTGTGCGCACCGATTTAAAACTTACATTACATTATGACTTCATAATGACTTTAAATATTAAGAGAATCATGTTTACATTTTTTAATGTTCTATTTTATTTTTTATTGTTAATATTATATGTATTATATACATTTCAAGTCAAGTTCCCTTTACAAACCTGACGGTCTATAGGGCAAAGTGAAGTAGTTCACTTGTTTATGAAGAGATAGCGTGGTCAGCACTATGCTCAACAGCCTTTACTTTCCATAACGTGAGTTAGGTACCCATCAGAGTTGGGTGGACTCAGGGACGGTCTACTGACTTGAACCCGGATTCGAACTCGAGACTTAGCTGACTTACAGGTTAGCAGTCCAGCTAAATTATATATATTTATTATTTATATATTGTTTTTTATATCACAATCGACTGCTGTAGCTGTGCGCGCCAATTGCCCTCTTCTTCCTAAACACCAAGAACACACTCAGACCTGTGGCCATTCAACTGAATCAGAGACCTGGAATTGACAATCCGGTAAGTGGCGTCATTTTACGTTTCATTCGGAAAGTTGTGGCTGTTATAGACGTAAAAGTGTTAACGATCGCTAACGACCACTGCAGAGTTAATTTACAAGCGATGAGATTTAAAATTCATTACATAATAACTTCAAAAGTTAAGAGAATCACATAACATGTTTTTAAAACTTTCACTTTTTAATACACTAAGCAATACACAGCACCACGTACACGTTACCCAAGTTTTCTAGCCTGGCTGTAATTTTAATGTGTGCATGATGTTTGCTTAGATTTTCACACCAGGATGCCCAACTTGGACATGGACACTGGTCAAGATGTGGTTCAACCACGCGGACGCGCTGTACCACCAGGCACTGACACATCTGGGTAAGTTTTGATTGGCCTGCATCTCTAGATCTACAGGTGATACATAGGTAAGTTTTGATTGGCCTGCATCTCTAGATCTACAGGTGACACATAGGTAAGTTTTGATTGGCCTGCATCTCTAGATCTACAGGTGATACATAGGTAAGTTTTGATTGGCCTGCATCTCTAGATGTACAGGTGATACATAGGTAAGTTTTGATTTACCTTCATCCCATCACAAGTCATACAGGTGACACAGGTAAGTTTTGATATACCTGCTTTACTAGATTTGGAGATGACACGTGTTCTATTGACATGTATTTATAACATATATTATATATTTTTGGTAAAATATATTTACATTGTGTGTGTACCCCAATATACCCCCTGTGTGCTGCAATATTCACCCACCTGTTGATTGTGTGTGTACCCCAATATACCCCTGTGTGTTGCAGGCTTCACCCACTTGTTGATGGAAGGATTCTCTCTGGCGACACATCGTCAACTGTCTGTATCACATCCGGTCTTTAAGATCTTAGCTCCACACTTCCTGTACTTGCATGCCATCAACAGGTACAAAGAGTTAAACAACTTGCACTTTAAATATTTTTTATAAAACATGGCGTAAATGTTATCTTTTTTTAAATTAGTCATCATTAAGTAACGATGAAAGGATATTTATTTTAGTTAATTTTCAAATATCGTTCAAAGATAAGTCTCAAACATGAATTGATTACCATGACCGTTAACTGACTAATGACTTCACCTGTCTGTTCTGTTACTCTGATTTAGCCTAGCACTGTCTGAGCTACTGGATGATGGTGGGTGGGTGGACAAGACAACAAGCTACGGCAACACGGGGATGTACCAGCTCGTTGAAAGAGGGTCGGTGCTACAGATCTCATCTATACATACTTTATATATATATATATATATATATATATATATATATATATATATATATATATATATATATATAAGCACGACAACAGTTAGCTACGTGCTTTAACTTCGCACAGAGGCTTAACACATTAATGCTTTTTAAATGGGTTTTATTACCTAATTTTTACACACACTTCCATTTGATGATTTTTTTTTAGCACAACCACAACAGAAACAACTTTTAATTAGAGAGCGTGGGGTTTCATTACTAATATAAAAAGTATTATCGCAAAAGTTTATCAATAATTATTCTATTCGTTGATTTGTTTTGATTTCAGCTTCCAGCAGTGGTCAGTTGAACAACACGGGCTGTTACATAACGATTTGAGACGTAGAGGGGTCAGTTGTATGATACATTTCTAGTCATCATTTGATCATATATATGTATGTAATAATTTATCTGGGCTTTAGAGATGGAAGTAACTATCCTAATATATAAAAGCCCATGTGCGCACTTCTCTCTGTCAGCAATATTTTTGGCAACGTCGTCAGCCTGTTCAGCGATAATTGGAGAACTTTGAGATACGGACTTTTTTTTAGAATAATATAGTGGACAGTATAAATGTATAAATTAAATTTTAATTAAAGAAGGATAATAAAAATAAAGACATATTTGAATGTAAATCAGATTTAACTAAAGCGTTTATTGTCGTTGCAGATAATATGAAACAATGCTGTCACATAAAAGAAAGTACACAAAACTAATGTGTCATCTTCCAATTTTAAATAATATAAAGAAATGAACGATTTGATTCAAATTTGATTTAGGTCTACTTAACGAGACGTACGCCAATAATGAGTTTATACACTAAACTATTTCAGGCCTTGATTATTTTATATAAATCTTTGTTTGCTTGGCTAGTATTTGGCTAATTTCATTTGAAATAATAGGGCCTATTCGCGTAACTGAAGTTTCCTAAATACCCATTTTATTCATAAACTAAGCTAAGGTGCCTAAATAGCTGAGATAATAGTATGATAGTTACCATGCAGGTGGTACGGGTTCGAAGCACACTGAGTCAATCTTAAATTTTTTTTTTCAATTTAGATGTGAATGATAAAGTTGCCTATCGGAACATGGCGGGACAAGGGACAGGTGAAGTAGAGTTCACCTGTTCCTGTATTCTCAGCATATAAGCTATTGTGTGGTCAGACCCATGCTAGGCCGAAATAGGTGTTTTTAAAAGACAAAAAAACGTAACTACAATTGAACAGCCGGGTTTTTAACGACATCACTTAAATTTCTTAATTTTAAGTTTCTATTTTAAAATGTGACTGATTTTTTGGCTATTTAGTTATTTCTTTGCTTTGCCATTATTATCGTTCAACGTGTAGTAAAGCACATTGCGTTTCGACCAATACATTTTTTTATAAATAATTATAAAATATATTTCTCAAACAAGTTTAACATTTTTAAACAAGTGAGTTTAAAGATATCAATTGAGGGTTACCGATGAAGAAATGAAATATTTAATTTAAATATATAGATCTAAAACTAAATATAGAAAAACCAGTATCCGCCATTCCCCCCCCCCCTCCACTCTTCACCCGAAAGTTTTAAGTGCCGCTTCCCTAAGATAAATATTTAAATGATAAACTGGGCATCCTATACGTATGGAAAGAGCGGAGAGCTAAAATTCACTAGAATAGCCCGTGTAACGGGTACCGATGGCTAGTATGTAATAATTTATCAAGGTTTTAGAGATGGAAGTAACAATATTTTCTTTTTGTTTTTTTGTTTAATAATGTATTCTTTTCTTATGTCTATTCAAAAAACTTATTGTCCACAAGTCTGTATTGATACTCAAACTATGTGGGGCCTGTTGCATTACATATAAGTTAGTTCTTGTTGCAGTACATTAAATTAGAAAACATGCAATCTGAAGTATTTTATCATAAAATTACGAACGCGCCAATTGCAGTCTTTCATGATAAATACCAAACTCGCTAACTGAAGAATCGCATCATAAAAATACGAACTCGATAACTGAAGTATTTTATCATGTAGAGGGGGGTGGAAGCAGGCGTTGTAACAGAAATAGCAATATAAACAGAAAGTGATATTTCAACATTTTATCATAAAAATACAAACACGCTAAAGGACGTAATATATTATAAAATACGACCACGTTAACTGAAGTGTTTTATCATAAAAATACGACCACGTTAACTGAAGTGTTTTATCATAAAAATACGACCACGTTAACTGAAATATTTTATCAGGTGGATGACCCTGAGGTCCTACCTAACTACCCCTACAGGGACGACGCCACATTGTTGTACGACGCCATCAGTGAATATGTCAACAGCTACATAGACCTTTATTACAGTAATAGTTTTTTTTTTCAACAATGGATAAATGTGTTTTCTTAAATTATATTTTAATAAGTAGGCTTACGTATATTGTATTTGTATTATAAATATATACATATATATATATATATATATATATATATATATATATATATATATATATATATATATATATATAAATTAAAAAAAAATATATATATATATATATATATATATATATATATATATATAAATTTATATATATATATATATATATATATATATATATATATATATATATATATATATATATATATATATATATATATATATATATATATGTGTGTGTGTGTGTGTTTATATATATATATATATATATATATATATATATATATATATATATATATATTTGTATTCTAGTATGCTGGTGTGTTTGTCTATGGTTCACTATTTATTTTGTACCCTATCTAACTCTATAAAGAAGTTATTTAAATGCAATATTCACACTTGGAACTTATTTTGTTTAGCGACAAATCTCTACATACCCATTTTAAAAACTTATTTTCACTTTTTTTTTCTTCTTATACGTATCTTCACTAGAGGATAACGAGACACTCCAGGCTGACTATGAAGTTCAACACTGGGTTAAGGAATTGGCTGAAGAACGAAATTTTTCTGAAGGAGGAATCGGAATACTTGTATGTTCTCACCGAGTGTCATGTCTATGTATTGTTACACCATTAACGATTACATTTGCATTGATATTTGCCCATTCGTGGTCAAACATATGTACAAACCAGACCAACTTGCTCTATGAGGGGAGCAGGACGTTTTAACGAAAGACACTTGCCCAAATGGGACTAATATTCCGGCGAGGCATTTTTCGCATTCGGGCTAAACTGCCTTCAGTATATAGGGATAGGCAAAGTCAGAGCGATAAAGATCACGGGTGTATTACCTAAATGATGCTGGATTGCATGAAGTATGAAAATTAGTTTTAATTAAGAATGTTCATTTTTTTAGTCTAAAGATTAATTTCATAATTTAATTAGTTATAGCATTAATGTTTATGCTGCTGTTAGGTTTAGTGAGTACCTTTATAAATAAAATACACTACATTTTAACGAGTGTCTAATTATATTTCTTTTCACGTTTGTGCCCAAGACACATTGGGCAGATGGCGTAGAATTAATCTATTTCAATGACCTCGGAATACGAGGGAAAAATATGGCCAACGCTCTACCAAGTCGCATTTGTTTCACTAACGTTTCACAGCACGGTGTACTCAGTGACATTCAACTAATTTAAACTCGGATTCGAACTCGAGACTTACGGGTTAGCAGTCTAGTTCTCTATTGCAAGGCCACGACACCCCTAATGTGTAATTTAAAAACAAATAATATTTTCGATTAAACTTCACAAGCACAAAATATGTTATATTCCTAACGTGAGATTTTAAATTTAAACTATGTTTTAGGGTCTTCCAGTAAAGGGCAGCTTGACCAGCCTTGACCAGCTGAAGGACATCGTGGTGTGTATCATCTACACCTGCAGTGTTGGACACGCGGCCACCAACTTCATACAGTATGATGAGTACGGGTTCCCTCCAAACTATCCACTCACCCTCATTGGTAACCCTCCTAGCAACCCGGTAAGGGAAATAATCTGCTGATTGTTATGAGAAAAGTATGTGAGGTCGAGTGGTAGAGAGTTTAGTATCGAACCTGAAAGTAACGAGTTCCGATCTAGGTCTGTACTTGAGCTCTCTTTACACGGATGAGTACATGACTTATGTTAGAGAAAAGCAAAGGCAGCGAGGCATAGACTTAACACCCCTTCAATTTTCGGGGTCGCAGAATCTTATGTAAGTCAGTGAACCAATTTTTTTATCAGGCTGAAGATCATTATATTAAGTCAATGTCGAGGTCAATGAAACACGTAAACTATACCTCACCTGCTCTATTGGTCTTAGAGTTATAAAATAGTAGTTTAAATTTAGAAAACAAATTCAACTGAGTAATATGTATTGATATCACAATCTCTAAACAAGTTACAGGCATTTAAAAACCCATCAGTTAAACGTCTAATTACAATGCATCTGTTTGAAAAAGATGTTTCAATCTCTATTACATCACAAACATATGTTAAAGGACTTCGTGGCCACTGAGGCTGATGTCGTCAAGGCTTTGCCGGACATCGTCTCAATCATGGACTCGCTGACCATCACGAAAATTCTCAGCACTAAAAGCACCAAAAGCCTGGGATATTTTGAGGTCCAGTTCATCTACGACCCAAAAGCCATTGCTATAGTCAACAGGTGAGTTTAAAGGCAGCTAATGTGAAATTATTTTATACTTGGCTTTAATGTTTACCTATAGTGTGTAACTAACTTGAACGAGTATTTTCAATACGCAAGTTCTAAGTTACAAAACATGTGAGTTTCAGGACATCAATCAATAGTCTTTATAAATTACAGTACTAACTGAGTTTTAAATTACAAAATGTGTTTTTTCGTGAATAACTATCTAAATGATTCTAAATTAGAATTTTGTCTAAATTTCTTGAATGTCTACAGTTTTCGTAAGAGGCTGGAGGAAATCTCTGAGATAATCGACAAGAGGAATATTGAGAGACACCCGTCGTACAACTACCTGGACCCTAAGTACATCCCTAACGCAATCAGTATCTGAAGGGTCAACACAATAGGACAAACAACAAACGCAATAAGTATCTGAAGGGTCAACACAGTAGGACAAACAACAAACGCAATCAGTATCTGAAGGTTTAGCACAGTAGGACAAACAACAAACGCAATCTGTATCTGAAGGTTGCAACAATAGGACAAACAACAAACGCAATCAGTATCTGAAGGTTCAACACAGTAGGATAAACAACAAACGCAATCAGTATCTGAAGGGTCAACACAGTAGGATAAACAACAAACGCAATCAGTATCTGAAGGGTCAACACAGTAGGATAAACACCAAACGCAATCAGTATCTGAAGGGTCAACACAATAGGAAAAACAACAAACGCAATCAGTATCTGAAGGGTCAACACAGTAGGATAAACAACAAACGCAATCAGTATCTGAAGGGTCAACACAGTAGGATAAACACTAAACGCAATCAGTATCTGAAGGGTCAACACAGTAGGATAAACAACAAACGCAATCAGTATCTGAAGGGTCAACACAGTAGGATAAACACTAAACGCAATCAGTATCTGAAGGGTCAACACAATAGGAAAAACAACAAACGCAATCAGTATCTGAAGGGTCAACACAATAGGAAAAACACTAAACGCAATCAGTATCTGAAGGGTCAACACAGTAGGATAAACAACAAACGTAATCAGTATCTGAAGGTTGCCACAATAGTGACAAACACCAAACGTAATCTGTATGTAAATCGTGAAAAGTTCATTTAAAACAACAGCAACATCCCATACTGCTATCATTAATGTTAGTGTTTATTTTAAAAATATTTTATTTAAAATGTAAAATACTTCTATATCTCTATTATGTGCTAATTTCAAATTACAAAATGGACTAAAAAGATAAATATAAATACATTTAAAGATATACTTTTTTAGCTTATACAAATGTATACAGATAATTAACAATTATAATAATTTAAATTACAATTATTTTAATAATAAACAATAAACTCAGCAGTGTTTTTTTTAACTGATTTAACAACACTATATAATTTGAGATGATATAACCATATCCAGTACTTGCTATACTACTTTAATATGATACTTATCAGGTTCTTCTTTGTCTAGGGGTGTAAGTGCATAACACAGAATACAACATGTAGATAACTCTAAATAACACTGCCAAACAATAATTAGAAATTTTATATATATATATATATATATATATATATATATATATATATATATATATATATATATATATATATCAACAACAGTGAAATGATAATTGATGAAATGTTCTACTGTCGTTAGCCACGTCCACAGCCACATCCACAGCCACACTACAACTAACTGCTTCACACACTGCCACACCCTCTGACACCTCATGTGAACACTTCTCGCTTCATGTAAACACACGCAGCCAAGGGCTACAACTATACACAAAAAGAGGGTACCTGTCGTTCGAGCACACGACACAACACACACACACAATCAGGGGATAAGTAAGGGACGTAACACTACTATTATATCATATACGACACGTACTATGTAATTTGAGAGGATACAATTATAGCATACTATACACTACTACAAAATTTGAGAAAAACTCATCAAAGTTTGATGGCGATCGGATGCACGCTGTCAAACCAAAATCGACTTTTATTTTTATATACGGTATTTGAACATTTTTTCTTCGCAGAAACCTCCCTAGAAGTATTCTCAACAACTTCCCAGACATACATTGCTTATATATATATATATATATATATATATATATATATATATATATATATATATATACATACATATATATATATATATATATATATATATATATATATATATATATATATATATATATATATATATATATATATATATATATATATACATATATATATATATATATATATATATATATATATATATATATATATATATATATATATATATATATATATAGACAAGCGTACCCGTCCCCCGCGCGTTTTCGCGGGAATAGAAAAAGGGTTTCATCCATCCGTTACCAATCCTATATTCTTAGACGTGTGACTTTGTTTTCTAAAAGTGAGTTATTTAAATGCAAACAATGCCTGCGCTTGGATCATAAATATCGTGACACGGACTTACCTACACTACCGCATTAAAACCTTGAGTGTACATTAATCACTTACTCGAAATAATGAGGTAGAACACACTTCGGTGACCGCCCATGTTTCAGGGACGTAGAGGGGCGCTCTCAGGAGCCCCCCACCCGATTAATCTACCGCATAGGTGCCGCGTACGGCCCCTGGCTCCTTAAAACTAACAGGCGCCATCGTGCCAAATAGCATTCTGTGAAAAATTGTGCAGATTGCGTCATTCGCTAAAGTGACACAAATGAACAGGATTTTTTCTTTAACACGTAAAAAAATTATTTGACGTATTTTAAACATCAGTGTTAAAATAGTCTATTATTAGATGCTCGATCTCAATTTCTGATTGGATTGTCACAAAAAAAAGATGCTAATTGCATCATTCTCAAAGTGACGAAACTGTTTCGATTTTTTTACGGAAAAAATGAAACGTACCAATTAATAATCTAACCTTGGTTAATTTTCCTGATTATTAAAATACAACGTATTACATGCCCCTCAGCGGCCCATGTGAGCATTTGTGGACCGAAACTGAATTTTTTTTTTTTGCCGCCAAATCGCACCATACCAGGGCGCCGGCGGACACGCCTGATTCAATTTAGTGAGCGTTTGTAATGCCCCATCCTATCCATTGTCTATCACACTGTTTAGACCGAATCGCATCCTGCCGGGGGGCCGTCCATGCAAAATGAAATCCTCCTTCCAACCACCACCTACCCACCCCCACCCCAGAAACCTTCGTGGGAGTATTCATCAATTCGAATAAACTGTATCGAACCTCAATCGTCGTTTATTTTTATATACCGTATGTAGAGAAAAATCGCACCCTCGCGTGTCGCTGCCCTTGCGAAATTAAAAATTATTTTTATACAGAAACCTCAACCTAAAGAGTTCTAATTAACTCCCTAAAGTATGATGGCTATCGGATGAACGATGTCAAACCGCAATCGACTTTTATTTTTATATACCGTTATAAAGAAAAGTCAAATCGCACCCTGCCGGGGCGTCACCCCTGCGAATTTGAAAATGTATTTTAAGCAGAAGCCTCCCCAGCAATATTCTCAACATATTCCCAAAGTTTCATGCCTATCGGATGAACGGTGTAACTGCGATTCACTTTTATTATTTTTATATACCGAATATAGAGAAAAATCGCACCTTCCCGTGACGCCGCCCTTGAGAAATTAAAAATGATTTTTTTTTACAGAACCTTTCCCCTGAGTGTTCTAATGAACTCTCCAAAGTTTGACGGCGATATGATGAACGCTGTAAAACCAAAATCGACTTTTATTTTATATACCGTACATAGAGAAAAAACTCATCACGCCCTGTAGTGGCGCCGCCCCTGCGAATTTGCAAATTTTTTTTCACAGAAACCTCCCCAGCAATATTCTTAACAACGTCCAAAAGTTTCACTGCGATGTGATGAGAAGTGTAGTAATGCATAAAAGACAAACAGACAGACAGACAGACAGACACACTCATACATTAGTTTATATATATATATGTATAGATAGATAGATGACAACAAGTTTATTTATGTATCATTTCGGGCTCTGTCGTAGCTTCATCTTCATCTTCGCTTTGCTTTTCTGTTACATTTGCTCTTTTTTTTAAAAAGGTTTTCAAAGACTAAATCATTCATTCCTTTTAAATGCTTGTCGCATTTTGGAGATTCGCTTTTTGAACCCTAAAATGAAGAAACGTTTTAATTAATTATATATTTTAAAGATTTTTTACCGAATATTACTTTTTAAACAAAATTTAAAAATAAACTAAAAAAAAACCCAAACATTTATCGTTTTAGATGGAACAAAAAAATATACTTAAACAGAGTATTAAGTATTTGTAATTAAATAGACTCACAACATCTTTTCCGACATCTTGTCTGCGTACATTTTTAAACATGATGGATATATGATGGACGGATGTTAATATCATCCCTAGAATATTCACAGTCCCTCCGTTTTCCAGGAACATACATATTTCATAAAGAAATAACTGTAAACAAAAGTATATCATTTACTTTTACAGTAGCCATAGACCAAGGAAGATTACGTATCATCAATGCAACGTGCGTATGTGGAAGATACAAAGCATGAAAATAAATTAAATAATAAAGGGGTATTACATTGAAAGAATCACAGAGAGACTGAAATTAAAGGAAATATATATACACGTTTTTTGTAACGCAACTTAGAAAAAATAGTATACATAATTTAGTTCTGAAAATATTGAGTGAATAACATTTATTAAAATTTAAAAAAACCTCCATAAATGTATAAGCCTACATGATCTTATTTAATTTTTAAAATATCTAACCTGCTTCTAGTGCAATTTCTAAAGACGCCTCAAGTCTTTTCCATAAATTAGAGATGTCCTTTATGTCTTTGTATTTTGTTAGACTCTGTGAACAAAAAAAGTCAGACTTGGCTTTGAATTTACAATAAAGTTAAGGGGGGTAGGCTCCAGAAAAATTCAACTTCTTTATTAAAACGTTTAATTAATTTGTTTGTGAATATCTAAGTTAGGTACTTATACGAAGATATCTTTTTAAATATGATTGCCATGGTAACGGCGGCCATCTTGAAAAAAACAAGTTTTGTGGAGTTCTAAAGTTTCATAAACGAACATATATATCGGCCATATAATCATTGATCCTTCTTTTACTAACACAGAAAACACTCTAGATATTTTTTTTTTGAATTTTCAAAATTCGATATTTCGAAATTCCATTGAAATTAATGCTAAATGTAATAGTATTTCGCCATTTAAAAAAATCTTTGAAAATTGAAAACACATGTTTCTAGCGTATTATTCTCTTACAAAAACTAGTCAGATGACTCTATGAGTCCCTAGTGATTGCAAATATTGTCCCTCAAGTAAGCTAACTT